AAAAGTAGATGTTCAGAAAAGTATGGATGCTGAAACGCACACGTTTCACCCTGTTGTTTTGATGTCACAGGTTTTTCATTCTTTATTATCATACACTACAGTTGCCTTCATACCTTGATGTGATGAGCAAGTTTAAACATTTTGCGGGAGGACAACCCAGTTTCTTTGGAACAGAAAACAGCCCCGTCTGTTGACTCTATTGAAGGCCTTCATCAGAACGATGAAGGCTACGTACAGTCGTACTCATTTTTCTCTACACTTCTCTTGTAGTTGTTGACTGAATATATCATATCAATGGTGGAGCATCCTGAGTGAAGACCACCTTGACTTTCAGGATAGAGCCTTTCACCTAGAGATTGTAGCCTAGGAGCATGATGCAAGTAAACATTTTTCCAGCCTTGCTGAACAGGAAGATACCTCTAGAGCTGTCGCAGTCACTTCTATCCTCCTTGTCCTTGTGTAATTGTACAGACTGTTCAGCTCTGATATCTTAGATTTCATAGATTTCATAGACATCAGGGCTGGAAGGGACCTCAGAAGATCATCGAGTCCAGCCCCTCACCCAAAGGGCAGGAAGTCAGCTGGGGTCATAGGATCCCAGCAATCTTGTGGTATTGCTTCCTTTTGCCAACAGAGCAGTATAACAAAACATCACAGAGCTTTCAAAGTAATTTGCCATTGGCATGTTTGTATGTTTTAGCAGGCAAACAGTCATTGCCGGATGCCTTGTTCCCAGGAATCAATTTAATGGCTTCCTGCAAATCATCTGATGTAGGCTCATTGTCCAAATCCATCATAACTTTGAACTGTGGTAATCCTTCGAGCTCTTCAGGTCTGTGTGCGTGTATTACACGTGTATATACACACATACAAATCTTATTTTAATGCCCTTATGCTGTCTCCACTCCCACCATTTTTCCAATCTTTTACCACTGTATTGTCTACCAAGGGTCTGATCCTGCAAGCGCTTAAGCACACAAGGAAGGAATTTGACTTCACTGCCTTTCCATAGACTTCTCTCCTATGGAACATTGTATAATCATAGGAAAGTAGGGCTGGAAGGGACTTCACCATGTCATCTAGCCCCTGGCATAAGGCAAGATCATCCCTGCCTAACCATCAAAGCTGATTGTCGGTCCAGCCTGTTCTTGAAAACTTCCAAGGATGCAGAGTCCACATTTTCTCTAGCCTGTTCCAATGCTTGACCACCCTGGTATTCAGAAAGTTTTCCATAATCTCCAACCAAAATTTCCCCTGCCAAAGCTTGAGGCTGTTGCTCCTAGTCCTTTCCCACACACCTATGAAGAAAAGTCCATCTCCATCTTCTTTGTAATTGCCCCTCATGTATTTGAAGACTGTTATCAAATCCCCCTCAGTCTTCTCTTTTCCAGACTAAATACCCCTGGTTCTTTCAGCCCTGCCTCATAAGTCTTGCTAGTGTAAGATCATACTCTGAACTGCAAACTGGAAAGCAGTGATACTTCAGGCAATTATACACAGTGCATTGCACTGAAATATAAGCATTGTGGGCCAGATCCTAAAGTAAGAACAGGTATCAAGTCCCACTGAAGCTGATGGGAAGTAAAATACTCATGCACCTCCAGGTTTGCAGGATCAAGCCCTGAAGTAGTAGCTAGAATTTTCCAAACAGGGCTGAAACCTTCCTTCCTTTTCAAAGGCCAATATCATGTTTTGTGCCATCCCGTCGGGGCTATAATTTTATTTTTACAACTTTTTAATCTATCACAGTGGCATCCTATTGTTAGTAACTCTTCCTGGCTAAGTCTTTGCTGTTGACTTGGCTAGGCACGTTGCAGCTTCCCTTGTATTGATTAGTGCAGTAAAGTTTTTTACTTTATTGCATTAGCACTTGCTTTTATTGAGCTAATGTAACAATTTAATAAGCTTGAATGCTAATGTGAGAAAATCAAGGTAGCTAAGAGTTTTGCAGTGAGTCAGGGGTTGGCATCCTCATCCTGATGAAGTCCTGTTTTCTTATTGTGGACCAAATTTTGTTGGGGCTTTAAACCAGAGTGGATCCAGGGGTCCTCTAATTAAATCTTCTGTTTGAATGTACTAGGATAAAATCCTACTGTAATAGACCACCTATTATACCTGCTTGGAGGTGCTCTGGATTTGCACAGCTATAATTGTGTACAATTTGGCCCCCGGCATCTCAGAAGTCCTTGACACCTTAAGGAAGAAGCTGTCTGTTTTACAGGAGTTCGGTGTCATTCAGTGGAAAACACACCCTGCAGATCAGGGAATCGGAGGCAAGGCGGGTGGCATCATAAGATTGCAACCTGTTAGGAGACTGAAGTATTGCAGACATTGCATTGTCCTGCTCTTTGGAGAATGCCACTGTCTTCATATTCTCTCCTCAGCCTTTTCCAAATGTTCAGCCAGCCTCAACCAGAATCCTACAGCCTCTGCTGCAGACTCCAACTGAGTATAGGTGTCCTGGAGGCCCAGGGGAGAGTGTTCGTAGTACAGGACTGCTGGCAACATCTGATGACGTGAGCTTGGGCTCGTGGAAGTGTATGCATCTCGATTTCGTTAATCTATAAGCTGCATCTCTAGCCTTTCTGACTTCAGACTTGCATGGCTAACTACCTCTCTCTGCTCGTAGTACAGGAGCTGGTGTAAGACTGATAGAAGCAGACTTCCACTGTTCTCCCTTGCAGATCCCACTAAGGGTCAGGTGTGGTAGGTCTGAATGGCCTGGCTCGGGTCCTGAAAGCAGACTGGTTGGTTTAGTGTAATGCCCTAAGAAGCTGCGTTTGGGAGCTCGGGAGAAACTCTACGCTAACCCGGCTGTCAAGCTCTGGTCCCTGGCCTTGACTGTGCAGAACCAGCTCGGATGTATCTGCATGGCACTGCACTCTGCAGTTCGGACACCCATAAAGCTAATGCCACTCTGTCCCCTGCAAGAGCCCCATGACATTTGGGTCATGTTTGCCCGTCTCCTCCCAGGCTGTGCCGTCTATGACATGAGGGCCACGACAGCATTTGGGACATACGCAGCAAATGATAGCAGGGCTGCTTTTATGCGGCAAGCCAAGCCTTTGCAGTGATGCATGCGAGAACAGTAGTAGCTCTGTACACATGGGAATTTATGTTGGGTCTCTGTGTGGCAAAGAGCAGTATTTCAACATGGCCATATATGTATGTTTTCTTCATCAGCGAGCATTGTAGCATTAAGCAAGTCCAGATCGCTGCATATAGCTGGCAAGTCTGCGGTATTTTCATTAAGTATCCTTAGTGACACATACTTAAGCTTTTCAGTGAGCGAGACCCTTACAGCCTGAATTCAAATTCTTTTTTTAGGTAGCATTAACATCAGAACTTCAGCTTGAAATGCCACAGGCTATTTGCTCTGTTACTGGGCATCTGCTGTCTGCAGAACTTATCCCTGCGGGAAAAGCCTTGTCCAGGGCGGCTGCCTTCACTTTTGGTTATAAAAGTAACTCACAGACTGTGCTCTTGGCAAGAGCTGTGCAACTCCGAGACTGCTCAGGTATAAAAGAGCAGAATTTGGCCCTCAGCTGTCAGTTGTATTTAAAATACTTCACATGCCATAAAACCATTTCTAATGATGGCTAGAAGAATATATTAGCAGCATGGGTGACTGGTGCCTCCCGAGTCTGGGGGGGCACCAGATCTCCAACGAGGCGGGGTCCCCCAGCAGCCGATCGCCGAGCCAGCAGTGAAACTGGAAGTGCACTTCTGGTTTTGGGGCTGGTGCTTCCAGGGGCTGCACGGCCAGTCTCAGGGGGTGCACGTGCACCTGTGTGCACCCCCTACGCATCACCAATGATAAGCAGATTTATAGCTCCAGGGCCCAATCCTGAATCCCACTCTGGCACTGAGCAGCCATAGATTCAGTGAGTCCTCCCAACCGAAGGGCCCTCTTGCATGGAGGCTCAATGAGTGCTGGACACAATGCACCCCACCCAATGCACCCCCGCACAGTGCACTCAGGGTGAATGCCCTTATTCTCATTCTGGGGCAATAAAAGGAGACACGGGATATGCAAAACACTGCTGTGCTCTGGCAGTCCTTGGCTGGTAGATATGCCTTGCGGGGCCGGACCAAGCTTGGTATGGTTTGTCCAGCTAATCCATGCTGCAGTCCTCATCCATCCCTGCATAGCTTGCCCACAGTAGACCAAGCTGCTAATTGACCTCTCAGTGTAGGTTCTGCTGTCGACATCCACCACAGTACATACCCTGAGGGACAGGCCTTCTAGGCCTTGAGTACTGGAGCAGTACCACCTGGCCATTAAAACCATCCTGGCATGGGGCTTGTTATCATTGTAGCAAGCATAATACAAGGAAGAAAAAGGCATCTTTATACCTGCTGGCTTAGGAGGGCCCTTGGACTGGGCTTGCCCCATAAACGAGCCCTGTATATTTAGCAAGTGAGCAAACAGTCTGTTGGTGGCTCTGAATCTGTACATGCCCCCGTGCCAACAGAGGAGAGGCAGGCGGGTGTGCTTCATGGGGGAGACGGGGAGAGCTTATTATTTCTTTTTCTTTTTAAAAAGTATGAAAACAACTTCTGAAACGATGCCATTTGAAATCGCGAATCTCCTGTGTGCTGCAAACTCAGCAGCCTGGCTGATCTGGGCTGAGAGCACAAGAAGACTAAAGCAACTTGTGCTAGCAGGTTTTATTAAGACTGAGAACATAGCCAGAAGCCAGTGAGAGCACACAAGCAAAGCCTTTTTTTCAGACTGAAGGCGTTCGGGGGAGAAACTCTGGCTCCCTGTCTTACCAGGACGGTGCCTGGCACACAGTCAGTGCCACGGGTGGAAGTTCAAGGGTTCCCCACCATGCATGGACCAAACTGGTCTGAATGGTCCCACAGAGATGGGACTCAGCTGTGGGGAACCAAGGTTCAACTCTCCTCTCTGCAATCGTTTTCCTGTGTGACTGTGATAACATTATTTATCCTCTGTATACCTCCGTCCCTGCACTGTAAAAGGGAGATAAAAGCACTTCCCTACCACACCGGGGCATTGGGAGGGTGACTACATTAATGACTGAGAAGCACTGACCAGAGTAATGGGAGCCATATAGCAGATCTGACAGACAGTGTCCAGCTATCACAACAGGAGCTCCCGGGAGCTGATCAAATTTGAACAGGTACCTACCTATATATTAATATTATCATCTGGTTTGCAGAGGAAGGTTTATCGCGTAAGCGGCGGCAACAGACTTAAAAGCAGCTGCTGTTTCCGCCTGCCTGCGTATATGCAAATGTCTTCCGAAGCTCAGGACTATCAGAAGCAAGAAAACCATTTAAAACCCCCTTTCCTGTCCCTTTACACTTAGTTCTGCTTGGTTCTTTTGTTCAACAGACTGGAAAGACTACGATGGAAGAGACCCTCGACACAGGGGACACACTGAAGCCCTGGAACATCTCCTTCAGCAGGTCCGAGCGTCTCATCAGCTTTACAGTTGCAGAGGTAAGGATAACATATCTGTGCGGTAGGCACCAGCCGAAGCCTCTGTGGCGCCTGTAATTTTAGCAGTTTCCTAACTAGGTCATACCTTCTCATTCATCAGGAAAAGAAAGATATTAATTTTGGCCCATCTGGAATCACTTTAGCGCGCTATCTTGCTTTTAACCCTTAAAATAAGTAATAGGCAACCCACTTTTAAAGCCAGCAACCACACAAATGCACCCTCCCCCTTATATTCCATGCACGTATTTAATTGTTTTCCCTGCATTTCACGCAAGAATCCACGAAAATGTTACAAGGATCTTTCTCTCTCTCCCAAAAAAAAAAAACCCCAGTTAAAGTTAACAAATGTTTTGGATCAACAGAGGACCTGGCTGCATCCAAATGGAAGGCACTGTGTATTCTAGCAAAGGTGGTGCCGATGTGTAATGAAAAATAGTTGCACTATCCTGTGTGAAGGCAAGTTTGCTACATTTTCTAATGGAAAAAACCTAAATCTGGGAGAGGGTTCGAATCTCAGCCACTTATATGCTCTTTCATTCGTGGGTCTGTGATGGCTCGCAGGCTGCAGCAACTACTTAGCGTTCTTTAGAAAGCATTTTAAATGCCCTCATTTTATGTGGGCTGTAGAAATATTACTATTTGGGGGGTTTTAAGCTAAGATTTCTAACCAGAATAATGCCTAATGGCAAAGGAACTTGGTTTAAAAGGAAGAATCAAACTGCCATGAAGCTATCGTTTTTCTTTGCTGATTTGCCTGTTATATTCCAAACTGCAACAAGCAATTCAAGTACCTAAGGCTAAAATCATCTGGCTAAAATTGATAGATTCGGCTTCAGTTCTTCGTATGCAAATATTCCACAATCATGACGATCAAAGGTCTGCCAAAGCCCAGTTGTAACTATGGCAACTTAAACTATTGTCATTTGGACAGGGAAAAGAGATATTACAAAGAAAGCGCATGTTTCTCTCATTAGGATTTACACAAACATGAATATTTGTAGGGGATTTTGGAAGGGAAGGTGGAGGTAGCACATTACGGCTCTTAAATAGCTTCCTTCCTATGTGATAATCTGGTAGGGCATTTTGTTATGGTACCATTTCCCTCCTCCTGAGAGTTAGCGCACAGCCAGGCCTTTCCAGATCAGCCTCTTCATCAAAGAGTAGTAAGTGGTGTGAAGGGAATGACACCTGGACCCCAGTCTAGGGACAAAAATGTTCACAACCAATGTGCAGGCAATTCTTTCGGGAGTCTTCAGTTCGACATGGGGGAGAGCTTCGCCAAGAATTGAGAGACTCTGCCGCTCTTACATTTCCCTTGATCTTGAATTTTAAAAGAACAAAAACCCTAACACCATTGTAGCAATCTTCCAAAGACTGAACATTTTCTCACACACTTACAAAAAAACAAAAAACCAACCCAAAACCCCCTTAGAAGACGATGGGTAGCAGTGCCATCTGGTGGTGCCTATCATAACAATATTTTTGCTTTGGCCATGTAAAATTAATTCCTCGTGCCATTAGATATGTGGCTGAATCCTCATTGTACCATTACGAAGGGCCTTCTCGACGCATGTTAGAGGCGTAGCTAAGCCATGCAGCTGATGTGATCCCCACCACAAGAATCATTGGAAAATAGAGCTGAAAAGGACCTTGGCAGGTTATCTAGTCCAACCCCCTGCTCAGGGCAGGATCATCCCTGTCAAAACCACCTGAAACAGGTGTTTGTCTAACCTGTTCTTAAAAGCTTTGGAAACGACCGACACACAAGTACCCGACACAAGGCCTGAAACATCACAAGCGCCCTTTAAATTGCCACAGATAAAGCTGAGGTTGAGGCCATTGTCAACATCCTCTAGCAAGGAATGGAAGTAGTTTATTAAAATGTACTCAAGAGATCCAAGGAAGAGGACCGTACCCCACACTACAGGGGGAAGACAAAAAAAACTCCAAGTCTGTGCCAGCAGTTTAGTAGTTTTGTGAAATGTTGGGAAACTGAAAACATTTTTGCATTGAAAAGGGGAGAAGGAATCACAACGTTACTTTTCCTCTGAAATTTGCAGCTGGGAACTGTCAATGTGAACTGAAAGCTAGGAGTGTTTTTGGTCCAGGGAGGATGATTGGCTAGTGGGTGGAGCACAGGGCCAGAAGGATCTCATGAGTCCTTTAATTGTTTCCATTCGTGTAAAACTTTGTGATGTAGAACGTCTGCGAGCATCAATCAACACCACTGCAGAGTTGTCCATGGAGCTGTTCCATTTTACACCAACTGGAGGATTTGGCCTGTTATTTACTTTTGTCAGTAAGAGTCATGCTCAACTTTCTGACCCTGCGGGCCACATCAGAGGTGTGAGGCCAGTCCAGGGGCCAGATCTGGCATGCAGGGCTGGCCCATGAGTGCGATCCAGCTGCCCCCTCCCACTAGATCTATCCACTCAGCAGCTCAATGGCCTACTGTGAGTTGGTGCAATCCGGTGTGCAGGGCCATGCCATCTGACCCATGGGTCCAGAAATTTGGCAGAAGGGGAGCTGCAGTTAACACTGCCACTGCTCCCCAGCCACCAAACTTTCAGACCTGCAGAGAACCCCAGAAGACATGGCCTCATAAGCCAGACCTAGCCCTCCGGCAAGAGGTTGAGCAGCCCTGTGCAAGTAAATATTGTTATCACATCTCTCAGAGGAAGAGGCTGAGGCTCAGGACAGTTGCATGACTGAGTCCGTATCAGGATACTGGTCTTCTGAAACAGCCCTGTGCCAAATCTACCATGGGTGACTGGTGCCTCCTGAGTCTGGGGGGGCACCCACAGAAGTTGGTGGCAGCAGCAGGGACGGGGCTGGCGAGCACCCGCAAAAGCCACCAGCAGTGTCGGTGGTGGGGATGGCCCTTTCAGGGGGGGCACATGCCCCCCTGTGACCCCCCTAGAAGTCACCTATGAAATCTGCTACACCACATAGTACCCCTCAGGCTAAATGCTTATACTCATGATCCTTAGCTGGTTTGAATCATCACAGGTCCTTGGAGTGCTACAGCACCTTACTAGTATTCATCAGCTAAGGACCCAATGAAGTGCATCTGTCTTTTCCACTCTTTGTGAGGCACAACTAAACAATGGGCCAGAATCAGATCCCAGACCACTGTTTTTTCCCTGTGTGAATCTTACCGTGTACACTGGTTTAAATAAGAGTGAGATCAGGGCCAGTGTTTAGCAAGCAGTAGAGTTAACGTGAGACAATGACCAAGGAAGGATTCGAACTAGGGCCCTCTTGGCCCCTGCCCTCGCATACAGAAATGCTGCCCCTTTAGGCATGCATGTCTCATCCTCCCTCTGAGTGCAAGGGAGGGGTATTGGAAGTGTGGAAAGACAGGCCAGAGAAGATGAGTGGCTTGGCTGATGGGCTCACCAAAACCCCGCTTATAAAAGGAGCTCAAGAGCAGCAGCTGCTTCAGTGTCGCAGCTGGACAAGAGAGGATTAAATTCCCCAGTTTCCGCTGAGATCCCCCGCACAAAGTCTGTTCGCTTGGGCTGTGCAGGGAAGTCCAGACCTTGTTCTTTTGTGTGGCCCAAAGCACTTCAGACGCTGAAGGAAACGGGCTCCCAAGAACACCAGGAAGGATACATAGGAATGTACAGTGAGTTCAAGAGGTTTGGGAATTAGATCAGCTGTTGCTTTTGAACCTGCTCTGTGAAATGATGAATTATCTCAAGGAATCGCTTAGGAAGCTTCGCTTTCATATGTTTAATCTTATGGAAAACCGTGATGATTACAAACAACAAAGTCATCCATTTGTCTTCATAATACCGTGCTGCAGAATAGCATAACCAAGTTACTACAATTACAAGTCCTGGCAACACTTCAAATGTTTGGGGTTTTTTTAAGTATTTTTTTTCCCTGCCGATCATTCATTCCAAACAAATTTTGTGCAGATTAAGTAATTACGTGATGCTTTGTTAAGAGGGGAACCCGCACCTTCGTTGAAATGCTTCCCAAATATTTTCTTTCTGAGCCTTACTTGTAAATATATTTTATTGGACAAGTCAGAAGTTAATTTTGAAAATGAGTTTAAGAGTCATTTGATTCATAAGCAGGAAAACCTGTTTTTACTGCATTTGCCGAAGAGAGAGGACTTTGATTTCACAGACCATTTTAAAAGTTTATATGGAATAAATAATTAGCATGAATATGCAGCAATAACACTCACGAGCTTATGCTGTGCTGTGAGCTGAGAATTGCAGATGGAAGATTTTAAGGCCAAAAAGAACTATTATGATCACTGCCTTGGATCTTCTGCATCTGACCCAAGCCCTACAACCTCACCCAGTAAATTTCTGCTTTGAGCTCATAACTTCTGCTTGAGCTATAACATCCCTTTTAGGAAGACACCCAGCTTTGATTTACGAACTGAATCTGGTAAAGAATCTACTGTGTCTTAGGTAAATTGCTCCCGTGGTTATCTGCCATCCATGCTAACAAGCTGTGGCCTTATTTCTCATCTGAATGCATGTGGCATCAACGTCCAACTGTGAGATCTTTTTTCACAAAGGGGAAAATTCAGCTTCATACACAGCGTTGGTGCAAAGTCCAATCTTCACGTATGCCCTCAAAAAAGGGTTGAAGTGGGCTCATAGTGGTGTACAGGTGTCAGGCTAACCTCTTCCTCGCTGAATGCTGCCCAAATTGACTAGAGCTGGTAGGCAAGCCCAGGGATTATTGGGGGCCACATTTTGCTCTCTCACTGATTTTACACCGTTCAGTTCACTTCTCTGGACCAGTTATGGGAGTGGTACTCCCTTTTCTAGCCATGGGATTATAAACCATCCAGCCCTTTCTATCCGATCTTCACAGCCCAGTGCTCCCACTCCTGTCCCGGAAGGGCCCGCATGCAGTTTTCTCTTATCCCTCCACAGGCCTATTTATCTCATTCTTTATATACCCCTTGTATTTAGGAAACAACAAAGATACTTTTATATGTCCAGAATAAAAAGAGAGAACCTGCAAAAATCATAAATTTACCCTTGGAATTAACTGTTCGACGCTATCTCGGTGTTAAGGTTTGTGACCTAAACCCAATCGCTACCACCCCCCTCATCTCGTCTAGCGAGTGTTGGCTCTAAGGCTCAACACTCGATTACCTTATCATTTATTAAAACCGCCTTGTTTTGCTACTGCTGATATTTTACAATTCCGGGCAATTCACGTTATTTATTAGTTAATTAAATAACAGACTGTTAAAATTCCATTTCCCGTGGATCCAAATTATCCGCTAATCCCAGCTCTGCTTTTCTGGCTTCTTACTTAGACAAGACTGTAAAACAAAAGCAAAGAACAATGTGGGGAAGTTTATGGTCTTTAGTGTAGTTTTACGTTTTTTTATTTTTTGCTCTTGGCATATAAGAAGCTGTGGACTGAATCCAAACCACTGAATAGCCCAATAGCATATATTTTCACATTTAACATGCCCTATTATTTTAGTGCTATAATCTCTGGGTGTTTTATGTGGAGTTATGTTGCTTTGCCTTTAGCAACTCAGACCTTCCTCCCCCCATATACAAGAGAAAATCTAACTTGCATAATTAGGCTGGAAATAGTATTCCTAAACTGGTCTGAGTGGAGGAGGAGGGGAATTGAGACATGCATTTACCATTTGGTTTACATTAGGGTGCTGCACTGAAGTAGCCTCACAGGAAGGTAAGAATGAGCCATGTAAATGTTCTCCAGATATTTGCTTTCTAATGGAGGGCAGGTAGAGCCAACATTTGAAAGAGGTAAATACTGAAGAGAGAGCGAGGGGTGTAACTCGAAATAAAAGGGATAACATCGAGGAACAAAACCCGGAAGATTAGCATCAAGAAAGAAATATAGAGGGAGTCTGAGAGAAGGAATGCGCTTGTCATTATGGCTTTGCTTGAGGCATTTAAACCGGGGCTAGACCATGGGAGAAAATACCATTGAGAACGATTCTGCACTGGAAAGATCTGGTGATCTAATAAGTCTTTCCCGTGTCTGAATTGTCTGATTCTATAATAATTTCACCTCCACTAGAAGCGTGTTCTCTTTGTGCTCGCTGTTCAGCAGAGCAATAATTATGCTAACAATGTGTCTTCTTTCTGTGGTCTTCAATGTGCAAATTATGGTGCAAATGTATTCATCGTTTAAAAAATATATTGAACACTTACACAGATGGGGTTTTGACAAGAACAAATTTAGATGTTCTTTAAATGTTCAAACTTAGAACTTGCTAAGGAGACACAGTCAGACACCTCCTATTTAGCAGTAATGGTACAAGGGAAATATGTTACTCTGGGAACATTCAAGGAGACAGATTAGCAACGTGCTGCGAGTAGGTTTCTGTAAAGACCTGGGAAGATAATAGGCTTTTCCAACTGAGATAAGTTAACCTCCAGATATTTGGAGGCTCAAGCATGCTTATCCTTGCATCCCCTGAATGACTGGAACATCTTGGCCCTACAGGATGTCATTTCACAATTACATTTTTCTGAGCGTCTTTCTTTCCAGGTTAACCAGTAATACCCTAAGACAGGTGGCCAGCCTGCAGTGCAGGTGCCACAAGTGGCATGGGCAGCCTCTGTGTGGTCCGTGGCAGATTGGGAAGGGGGAAGGCGGCACAGAAGGAACAGGGCAAGAAGCAGAAAGTGTTTGGGAGAGAGCACAGGGCAGGAAGCAGAAAACAGATCAGGGAGGGGAAGGGGATCAGAGTGGCACTTGGGGTGGGTGCAAGGCCAATTTGTGTCCCCCCCCGCCCTAAGACTTGTGTCTCTGGGACTGATTCTTTTCTTTCATATGCCAGTATTAAACAGGAATGAGAACTCAAGTCAATGGAGTTTCCTCAACAGCAAACCAGTTTAAGGGGCTGCCGCTGCTCAAAACTGCATACGGCATACTGCACTTCCCAGTTCTGCAATGACAATGACTTCTAACGGCCATTCAAAAGCCATGAACAATGCTGTGTACTCTTGATCACCATCTACTGGCACATCCTTTAACAGTATTTACATTTACACAGCGTAGAGAGCTTTCATAATGGTCCCAACTCCCGCTGAGAATTGTTTTATTGGCTTCAAAGGAAACTGGATCCGGCCCTACGTAAGAGCAGAGTCAGGCCCTACGAATACCATGAAGCAGAGAGATCTGGAAAAGTGAAAAGCAATTGAACAATAAATGGTTAATCTAATTTTTTAGAACCTCAGTAAGTGACTGAGTTTCGTGCTGACGCTGATGCGTTGATCTTTTGGAATCCGATTGGATCTTTTGGAACGTGAATCCAATTCTACCCAATCCGAAGCCTGGCTGTTTTATCACAGACTTCCAATTGGATGTGAAGAGGTTGAAGGACAACTTCGATGGCTGTTGCTTGGACTCTTGGTAACTGTAGAACGAATTCAGCTTAGGAAGTCCTGAATTTGCTGAAAAAAAGTTTATGAAAATACAAACTGTTGCTTAGAAAAAAATGGAAATGATCTCTCTCAGTCAAGTGGCAGCTGATGTCATTGAAATGAAGACAAATATGTTGTTAAATCTCTCCCTGGTATCACCGCATTTGTTAGAGCCGAAGTGGGAGACCTGTCATTCTGTTACTAGCAGCTTTGACATTGCCGATAGCTTAAGCTGCACAATTCAGAAAATACCAGGCAACCTCAAAATTAGATCTTCCCATCTGGTTTATGCCCATTGTAATTACAAAGATTACTTGCAAAGTTCAGATTCCATTTCTGATTGGCCCAAACAGAAACGCATGATTATGGGTCAGGCCTGTTCTGGTTGGGGTACAAAACAGGAATGTTTTTTCCAGGTCTGAGTTCATTGGCATGAGGAGTTCACTTTTATCTTATCACCAAGAGTATATGCCAACATAAGCAAAGACGGGTGAGTTTCTGCATTCCTTGTCTGCTGTAAGAAATCAGCACAGGCACATTTTGAAATTTTGTATCAGGACTAGAAGGGACAAAAGGTTTTTCTTTAAATAGAAACTGCAATTGATGTCTCCTCTTTTTGTTTGCTTGTTTTTCTGTTTTAGAAGGGTCTAAGTTGCAGAATGCCGGGCGCAAGCAATCGGTCTCTAGGAGCCTGAAGCATCTTTTCCACTCTTCAAACAAGTTTGTGAAGACATTGAAACGGTTTGTTCATTGATTTCACTTCTAAAATATGCCGAGTTTGGCTAAAAATTGATGTCTGGATCCAAAAGCGATTGGCATCTTTGACATGAGATCACACAGCCTCTCCTCTGATTTAAATGGCAGGACATCAGAAATAACTTGATAAGGTTACATCAGTGGAAAACTGGTATGTCTGATGGAAATTGAAGCTCCTTGAGCCAGATCCAGCTCCTCTGGGAGTCAATAGAAATCTTTCCACTGTTATCAGTGGGAGCTGGGTTGGAATTGTCACCCTTTATGCAAAAATACAGTAGAGTAGGGCTGTGTGAAGCTTCGGGTGCTGATTCGATTTGGAGGAGATTTGGCCGGATTCGGTGGCCGAATCTCCAAATCCTAATCAAATCAGGGGGCCAGTTTAAAGGTCCGAATTGATTCAAAGCTCTCTGAATCTTCGGAAAAGATTTGGAGAGCTGTGATGATTTGGGCAGTCCCCGGCAGCTGCAGCAGGGACCTGCAGCAGACTCTGAGCTGGTAAGTACTAGGGGCGGGGGAGGGGAGAGAGGACCATGGGGGTGGACCCCTGCCAGCCTCCCCAACCCCCAGCCCCCCTGACTCCCACTCCCCCAAATCTCTGAATCAGATTCAGCTGAATCAATTCGGGACAGTGATTTGAATCGCCAAATCGAATCACTGTCCCCCAAATTGTCCAAATCCAAAGCAAATAGTAGCTACTTCACACAGGCCTACAGTATAGTGATTTTAATATTCTTGAAACTGTGGTGCTGCTGCTCATGAAAGGGATTTCATAATTGGGAACATAAAATTAAGGGCTCCCACAACCCGTTTACATATATGTTTAATGCCCTGTCAGCAGCAAGCAACCCCCTGAGAAGTTCCAAGGACTTCAGGTTAGTTCTGCAACCTGGCACGACTCAGGCAGCTCTAAGCCACAATGGTTTGGTTTCAGCCAGTGGAAGTTAGCCACACTGGATTAATTCTTCTATCATTACAAGAAGCACTTAGTTTGCTTTTCCTTCTTTGTATTTTGATAAGAATTTGAAAAAAGAACAAACCCTCCAGGATCTTCCATTCCTCTGCAGTGACTGGTTAATGCATGTAACTAAGTATGAGAATAAATACTGAGAGGAATCCTTTCTCTAAACCTTTTTTCAGATCTGGTGGCCAAATCATGTGGTTACCGGGTTACATAATTATCCTGTCGGTGTCTCCAGATTTATACAACAGCAGAACCCCATTGTTGTTATAAAATACTAGCAAATATTCTGATCAAAAATGATGTAATGACCCCAACTGGGCAAAATTGCTCTGGTTTTACATGGGCAGGGAGTGCATGATCAGGTCCATAGATAACTGTGTTGTAGCAGTCTCCAACCACTTGCAATGACAAACATTTTGCCTGAATCAGTAGGGGAAGTTCAGTGCTTTGATTATGCAGCAGGTCCAATCAGATGATCAAAATCATCCATTTATGACCTCACAAACTACTCTGTTTTGCATATCCGGGGCATTTGGTTCATATCACCATGAGAGATCTCTAATTATATTTCTTTTTTCCTTGTAGGGGGCTCTACTTAGCTGTTATATTTTATTACAAAGACAACTTGTTAGTAACCAATGAAGATCAAATCCCAATTGTGGAAATCGATGACTCTCATACTAGTTCCATTATGCATGATTTTCTGTGGTTCACCAAGGTAACAGGAACCTAATTTCATATGTGTTTTCCCACTGTCATGTACTAGAAGTTGCAGAGATGTTGGATGTTTGTTACCAGAACACAAGCTAAGTGATCACAGAATCATAGAAAAGTAGGGCTGGAAGGGACTTCCAGGCTAAGTACAGACAGTTAAAAAGCTCGAGGCTGAGTCGATTCAGTCTTTCCAGGTTAGTCTAAATTGCAGAGATTAAACTGAGAAACAACTGGACACACATTTACGTTTGATTCAAGAAATCCAGCCACATGCCTGCAGTGGCTCAGGCCAGAAGCCGGGGGGCACTAGAGCACAGCTCTCTGACACATGGCCAGCATGGGGTGTGTGTTTGCTTCCTCTTCCTGCTGCCCCAAGGTCTCTGGGATGTGCAGTCCAGAATCACAGCAGCAGGACTCTTCAGGGTTGCTCATCACTTCCTCTTCCTGCTTCCAGGTACCTCTTGGATTTCTAGTCCACAGTTACAGCCAGCAGTAACTTTCAGTAAGTTTAGCAGGGCAGGGAAGTGCTGTATTTGAGAGAAGCTGGGTTTAACCCTCCTCCCTGCACCAGACCCCAGCCAGGGCTTGCCTGTGAGGGGCAGTCCCTGGCTTCCGCCCTGGTGCCCCCCTGCAAGCGTCAGCTGGTCGCTGCAGCTGCTCCCAGAAGCAGCCGCAGCCACTCCCAGAAGGTCAGCAGGATCAGCCATGGGGGCACTCCCCCCCAGTTGGCAGGATCAGCCGCAGGGCCCCCCCCCCAGTCAGTGGGATAGGTCGCAGGAGGGGCACATGCCCCCTGACTAAGGCAGCACCAGAGCAGACGGAACAGCGCAGCCGAGGGCTGGATAGCATGCTGGGATGCTGGGGGACTCTGATTTTAAGTTAAACTAGGAAGGGGTCTGGGACAGAAGTTTCATAAACCAGTTTGATCCAAATCAATTATGTCTGATACTACATTCAACCAAGTTTATCTTAAACCAATTTCAGCCATTTTGAAACTGGCTTATGTGTACTGAACTTCTGTTGGTTTAAACCACTTTCTGAAAACTTAAACTGGTTTATGTGTAACTTCTGTTTCTAACCCCAGAGGACATGTAGTCCAACCCCCTGCTTGAAGGCAGGATCATTCCTATCCAAACCATTGTATACAAATTCATTGTCTAACCTGTTAGTAAATGTTGATAAGGCAGTGATGATCTGCCTTATTTTTTGCTTTGGTTAACACAGGGGTTTTTTTCCTATGACGTTTTAAGGGTTAAACCCCGCTTAACCAGTCAGTGTGGAAGGCTCTAGCCACAGCAGCAGTCACTCCTTGAAAAATATCTAAACTCGCATAAACTATTTCTAGTCAGGGTTATGTAAAGGGTGTTTGCAGGCCAGAGAAAAAGGAAAGACTAAATTAATGTTAATGGTTGATCAGAGGCTTTAAGAGTTGCTGTTATGGTTGTGCTAGGGAGTAAAGACATCTCTGAACCCCAGAGGATGCTGCACAAGCTTTCATGAGCATTTGCAGACTAACTGAAATAAATACATGCTGTACATGGAATCACCTCTTTTTCTATAGCCTGATGGATTTGTACTAAACTAGATGCTTTATAAGTCTGACTAGATGCTTTATTATCACTCAGAGAAAGTCAAGGTGAGGAATATGTGGCGATTGTTTCCTAAGTGCAGTCTGCTTTTCTGTCCCTTCCCCCGCCACACATATAGACAATTATGCTGGTTTTGTAAATATGGAAAGAAAAGAAGATTAAACTGTGACATGTATTTTGCAGCTGTCTTGCATGTGGGATGATATCAGGTGGCTGAGGCAGAATATGTCCATATCCGTGTCCTCGTCAACAGCACTTCAAGCCAGGCAAAAGATGCTTTCAGCAGCAGCACAGTTACAGGTTAGTTGCGCTGCATATTTTCAGCCATTAACTTTAGTGCGTTTATGGTCTCTGGGGGAAGCTGCTGCCAGCTGTCCTTTGCTTCAGCGCTCCCACTAGGCCTATTCTTTGGAGGAGCGGTATTGCCTACTACAAAGCAAGCAGCTGAGCTTGTGTTCCCAGGTGGAAGGAAGGGGTTTATGTTAAAAGTAAATCTCAGGAAAAGAGAGAAAAGAAAAAATAATGACAGCAGCAAAAACAAACATGATGCAGCAAATACCATCAGTAAATTTGCAGTAAATCTGCAAACTGTTGTAAGGTGGAGGCTGCCACAGTTGTAACCCATTTGTCACTTAAAAGGCAAAATCCCTCTCATAGTAAATGCCTACTTCTTACCAATTTTTCAGTTAAAGTAGCATCTACTGCTTACTGCATTGAGGGCTGCATTATGATGCGTGCCAGGCACATCCATTGTAGAAGAAAACTTCTGTCCCAGAATGCTGCCAGACTAAAATGTAAAACATAATTATCTCTATGGTATAGACAGATTAAAGTGGAGATTGTCAGAGGAGCCTAAGGGAATTAGGCAGCCAAATCCTATCAAATAGTAGGGGAATCTCAAGGGTAACTATGAAGTCTGTTTGGCTAGTGGGAATCTTGAATCTTGCTCTCCACAGTCATGGTGTGGTGCCAAATGCAAAGACCACCCTTGCTCAATGGATTCTGATAGAATTGAATAGATTTTAGCAAACTTTGGTAGGTTTATTTTTTTAAAGCAACCCGCACAATTGTAAAGCAGGGTGTAACAGGGCATCATGCCCTGTTAAGAACTCTTAGAAGTGCCCTAGAGTCCCCTTTATTTCAATCCACTTCTGGGAACAGGCGCCTCTTCACTCGCCTGCCATGTCTTGATATTTCTTTTGGTTCTCAAAGGAGATGCTGGCCCAGGGCTTCCCAGATCGGGTCCTCATTCCAGAGGACACCCGGAGGTGAGGAGCTCCTGCCTTAAGGGCTAATTGCATGGCTCCACACCAACCCTACACTGTGCCCCATGCCTTGCAGGTGTTACATGACTGTTGTCACCTCTGTTGGGGCCTCGGCCTATTCAGCCCCTGCCCCTTTAATGTGGCTAGGTTGTCTAGCCTAAGCCCACTGTGTTGGACCTGGCTTTGAGGTGCTAGCTCTTCTCCCTCCTTTCCTGTTGCTGGGGACCTGGCCCCTGTCTGCTGCATACCTAGGGGCCAGACAGCCTGGCACCATATCTCTCTGGGCCTTGCACTATTTGCCAGGCTCCGCTATGGCTCAATCCTCACTGGAGCCTTAAGCCTGCCCTTGGCAGGGCTCAAGGCACTTATGTGCCTCTAGGCACTAATGAGGCCTCCAAACCTCCACTTTAAGCCTCATCCAAACCTCCATTTGAAACTACAACATAAACACTAAAAACCAAATAATCGAGGCAGCGCACCTGCTTCCCCCATGGCTCCTTCTCTCTGGGTCACTCTGTCCTGTGTCTACAGAGCTATTTTCTTTTGGTCTTCTGCAGCCTACACACTGCCTCAGCCTGGGCTGGTTGGCCCCCACTGGCTCAACCCAGGGCTTATGTAGCTCTAGCCTGAGCTCGCTCCTAGTCAGGTGATAGTCTCCAGCCAGCTGATCAGCCTGCAGGGCTACCTTTTAACCCAGGGGTGGGCAAAATGATGGATCCAGCTGGCAACTGGACTCCATTTCCCAGCAGCCCCTGCCCACATGGCTGGGG